TTCCCCCTATTATAATACACATTCCAACATTAATATTCAGTCTGACAAGAATAGAAAAATAAGAGCCATCTTAAAAAAGGCTCAGAAACAGTGCAGTTAATTTTTTTTAATCATCTGAAGATCCTTCAACAAATTAAACTACAGACAGATTTACACACAGAGGCAAACCAAACTGGTTTGTTTAGCTTTGATTTAACATGATAGGCAAATGAAGTCATTGCAGTACGTAAATTATGATTTATGGCTTATTGCAACTCTCTTTGGTTTAGAGACCACACTTTATCTTCCTGTCTGGCTGGTGAGCTGCAAAAAATATTCCAGAGAAAAGACAAGATTGCCATGAGGCCAAACTCCTTCAGCACATTTTTGGGGGGGGTGAGGGGGTAGGGGGGAGTATTAAATTCAGATTGGGAATGGGTGGGTTTTCATTTGCAGAGGTTTGTTCATCCATTTCTCTGCCTATTTTTGCATTTTTATGTTAACAGCCAGACCATTGATCATTAGTTATTTTGCCATTATATTTCAGTAGCACAACTTTGTAGGTGCTAAGGAGTTCCAACCTTGAATTGGTATGCTAAAGGACATCCATGGATAGATAATAACTGATTCAAAGTAAATCAAACAAAGATGGAAGGGATATGCTGAAGTACTGTACAGTATATGTGCAAACATCCAAGATATCTTAGAAGATATTCCCTAATTACAGGAACCTCTAGGAATAGAAAATGAAGTTAGATCAGCACTCTGGTCATTACCAAGTCAGAAGGCTACAGGAACTGATGGAATACCCACAGAAATATGGGAAGCAACAAAAGAAGAATCAGTAAAGTTTTTAACCAAGCTATGCCAGCAAATCTGGAGAACAACACAGTGGCCAAAAGACATCAGAGAAGGGGAGGGAGGGAGGGAGGAAGACCTAACAAAACATGCAAACTATCATACCTTTCATTTTACATGCTAGCTAAATAATGCTTAGGATCATGGAATGCAGATTAGAGCCCTACATGGAAAAGGAGATACCAGATGTTCAAGCTACTTAAGAGAAAGCCGAGGAACAGGAGAAATTATTGCTGATGCACACTGGGTAATTGAGAAAGCCAAATACCAAAAAGAGGTCACTATGTGCTTCATTGATTATAGAAAAGCCTTTGATTGGGTCAATCACGCCAAGCTGTAGAATGTGCTCAGAAAAATGAGAATCCCAGAACATCTCATTAGCCTCATGAGAAACTTATATAAAGATCAGGAAGCCACAATATGGACAGAACATGGTGAAACAGACTGACTCCAGGTTGGCAAAGGAGTGCAACAAGGCTATACAGCCTCCCCGTATTTAATCAACCTATATTCTGAATATATGTTAAATGAAGCTGGATTAGAAGATGAGGAGCATGGTTTTAAAATTGGAGGAAAAAACATCAATAACCTGCACTATGCTGATGACACTACCCTGATAGTCAAAAATGCAAAGGATCTGCAAGCTCTAGTAATAAAAATCAAGGAAACAGTGAAAAAATTGGGACTAAAATTAAAGAAGACCAAACTAATGACAACATTTCTGTCATTACAACCAGCCTCAGAATTGACAATGAAGATACTGAAATGGTGAATAGCTTCTCTCTTTTAGGACCAACCATCAGACAGCAAAGGAACAAGCAATCAAAAAATATGCCACAAACTAGCACTTGGCAGAGCAGCCATGAAGGTCCTGGAAAACATATTCAAATGCTGTGATGTGTCTTCCAATGGTGCACTCATCACCACTTTAACTGAATCCATCCACCTTGCTGCTGGTTGTCCTCTTCTCTTTTCTTTCACCTTTCCAGCATTAGAGCCTTCTCCAGAGAGCTAGGACTTCACATAATGTGTCTGAAGTAAGATAATTTGAGCCTACCTACAAAGACCAGAATCATGCAAGCTATGGTATTCCCTGTGATACTCTATAGAAGCAAATGTTGGACTTTGAAGAAGCAAGATAGAGTATTGTCGCTTTTGAATGTTGGTATTGGAGAAGACTCCTGAGAATACCATGGACAGCCAAGAAAATAAAGAAATGGATCAACCCAGAGTTCTCACTCAAAGCACAAATGACTAGGCTCAAATTATCCTACTTCGGACACATTATGTGAAGTCCTAGCTCTCTGGAGAAGGGTCTAATGCTGGAAAGGTGAAAGAAAAGAGAAGAGGACAACCAGCAGCAAGGTGGATGAATTCAGTTAAAGTGGTGATGAGTGCACCATTGGAAGACCTGAAAGATCAGGTTAGGGACAGATTATCATGGAGAAAATTTATCTATGTAGTCACTAAAAATCGACAACAACCTGATGGCATGTAATCAATCACTCAATCAAAAATGAGCCACAAAATTACTACTGGGAAGAAGCTTGCAGCCCATGAGTAACAGGATGCAGATTCCTGGCTCAGTCTATTGCATGAACCTTATCACCATAGTCTGTTCAACTATGTCTGTTCATTTGAATTCTAAGCACTGGTAGCCCAAAACTGCAGGAGACATTAGAGGATCTTGTGCTAAGAAGTATCAAGAAAGGCTATAGTTTCTCTGCTATGCTAGCTATCCAAATTCATCAAGAGAAGGGAAGAAACAAGCAGAATATATACATATAAAAAAGCAAAAATTTGGAGAATACAAAGAAGATTTTTCAGAAGGATGTGTATTTAAGCCTATGGCACTGACAGTTCTTCAGTTCCAATACTGTACATCATTAGTTAATCTAAGATACTTACCTGGACAGCCTGGTATATAAGGAAGTGGCCTGCAAACATTGAGATAGAAAGTTCTTTTTTTCGCATCTGCTGTTGTATCCAGGGCAACCCAAGGATCATGATCTCTGCTCAAGTCACTCAGATCATATTCATTGCCATCAGAATCTGAAAACACAAGCAGGAACTGGAAATGCTTGATTAAATCAAATCCTCCTTATCCAAGTCAGACCCCAATTTCCAAGAGGTTAGTCATCCAAGCCTGACATTTGAAGAGCAAAGTAATAAAATAACATTAAAACACAATATGCATTATGAAATCAGAAGATTCTACAGATAAATGTTGAGTGCTTCACCATACATAGTTGCAACTGTTTACTAGCTCAAAGCTCCCACAATATACATCCAGTATCTTTATATCACAATATTCAAGCACATCTCAAGATATAAACAAAAATTATTTTAGCCAAAAAATTTATAGAGATATATGACAGCATTAATGCTTTAATTTCTCTTTATCTAAAGTTCTGAGTAATCAGTGAATGTTTTAAATCAGATCATAATAATACAGCCCCCACTCTGGTAAAAATAAAGGAACATATAATTTTAGACCTCCTACATTTTAAAACATCTTTTTTAAGAGTCAGTATTTTAAACTTACATTTAAAAATAATTTTGCAATATTCAGAAAGATTGCACTTAAAAGTTTTTTCTTTCTTTTTTAACATTATAATTTATAAGGAAAAAAAATACACAAAAACCACTACAGTACCTTAACAAAGGGATGGGCAGAAGATAGACTTCTGGATGATTTGTAGTATAATCAAAAAGAATTACTAAACAGAACAACAACAAAATGACTAGCACCTCAAAAATCAATTTTTTTTTATCACTAACATGAAAGAAACTTGGGTTTAAAAAGTAGTTAATGCTTTGGGTGGAAGAGTAATGAAGTCAGTTTAGTTTTGGTACACAAAACAACCACCTGGGCTCAGAATTATTTAAATTCTGTATCTTTTAAATCAGGTTCACTTGGAGGATCTTGGGATTCTAGAAAATAACAAAGCAGATCCCCATAACTCTGAAATTTGCTCAGCCTTGCCTTCATTCAGTCGACGATAGCCTCTCTCTTATTTCTGAAAAAATTATACTGCTTTGTTATTATTAAATACAGTCTCAATCACTACAGATGTGCATGAAAGAAAAAATGTGTCTTGTTTCTTGCACAGGACAAACTTACTGTGGGTCAGAGATCTGGTCAGATTAGTTCTGAGCAGGTCACAGCTGAACTGAAATCTGCAACTTTTTGTTTTTTTTTTCTGGGTTTCAACTGAGACAAATTCCAGAAGGTTCTTGCAAGACAGGTAGGATAAGTCTAGTGTACCTCATCCTATTCTTTCCTCCTCCAACTGGCCTGCATACCAGCCCACCCACCAAGCACTTTCTTCCTTTTCTTTTTGCAGCCACTGCTGTGCTAGAAATCAAGCATATAAACCTGGTCCAAGCTAACTTTCCCCTTCCTTACGGTCTAAGCACTTCATTCCTGCACCTGAATTTAAGCAGAGTCTAACTTCACTTGGTCTGCTTGTCCTTCTGCCATATCTTTCCTGCACCATCACTAGCTTTACTTCCACCCTGCTGTCTCCTATCCTAGAATACCTGTTCCTGGCCATGCATATATGATCTGAGCCATACATAGTCTGTGCATGTAACATTTTTCACATCCCTATAATCCACCAGGATTTCAAAAGAGAGAGGTCAAATTCAAGTTTACCTAGAGTATTCTTAACATGCTCTTCAGCCAAACTTTCTAAGAAAAACACAAATGTTGGTTTCAGAAACCTACAGAGCTTGCAAGGCAGGGGAATGGATATAAATTTTGTGTACACATTTTTAATTTCTCTCTCCTTGCCTTCCAATCCCATTCTCATGGAATTAAAATCAGAGGTTGGAAGGGACCTTGGAGTTCACCTAGTCCAACATTTTCAAGTGTTCTCTTCAAAGAGGAAAGAAGCCTTAACTGTTGTAGAAACAAGTCCACCAATTACCATTTGAATGTAGGAAAAAAACCATATATAGAAACACTTAGTCTCTGAGATGGAAAATCTACCTATCTTAGTTTACTTACCAGTGACTTGGCAATCAACTGGAGCAGGTGGGCAAGCTAAGGCTGTGTAGAACTCAAAGTAAGTATTATGAATATTTCGTGCAGAATTCATTTCTTCATGTACAAATTTGATGTTTCCAGGATAGGACTGATTACAAGTAAAAGTAATGATGAAACTGTCATTGGGGCCTGGAAAATAAAAATAAAACTTCAGGACAAAGTATTCTCCAACTCTTTACAAGTAGTCCTTGGTTAACTACAGTAATTGGGACTGGGAACTCCATTGTTAAGCAATGTGGTCATAAAGCATGACATCCCATGAGGGATGCTGCAACACTGTAATTGCAAGCCAGTTGCCAAGTGCACAATCTCAATCAAGTGACCCCAGGGACACTGCAACAGCCGCAACTACAAGGACCAGCCATAAGTCTCCTCGTTCAGTGCCACTGTAACTTTGAATGGTCGCTGAATGAGTGGTTGCTGAACAAGGACTACCTGTATATGTTATTCCTTTAAATCTGCACATTTTAGAACATCAGATAGAAAGAAAGGCAAAAAACACTAGAACGGTACAGTTAAATGAAGGGAAAAGCATGGTAGTTTTCAGGGGTAGCAAGGGAAGGACTTTCACTCAAGTTCAGATTATAACATATAGTCTTAAAAAATAAAACATTAGTTTCCGTGACTGGGTCAGGATAAGTTCACTGGCATACCTAACTATTATAGGTAAAAAAAAAAAAAGAGCAAGTACTAAAATATTATGGTGGTAAATTATACACTGTAAGTAATGAACACTTTCTACAATCTCACTCACTGGGCCTTCTTATAACTTGAATTCCACAATCTCCAAATCTTTAAGCTCCAATCTTTTTTCTTTTACAGGGCTATGGAGAAGCATAAACCTTTTTGTCTGTGGATTCAGGAGGAGGGCAAGTATTAAAAATTTCTGAGGCAATGGCCAACAAACTGTACACTGTACATTGACCCTTTATTTTCCTTTGGATTAAAAAGAATAGTTGTTTCTCTAGATATGACCTGTAGGAACCACAGACTGCAGGAGAAAGTCTGATGGGATGACTAATGACTAAATATCATCTCTCGAAAAACTGTGATAGTGACTAAATCAGAAGGCAAACATTTACAAAGCAAGCCACAGTCACTCTACCTGTATAAGTAAGTGACAGATATCCTTCTGTAGACAACTGAAGAGTTTTGTTCAGTTTCACCAAGCGAATGTGTTCCAGGTCTTGTGTTTCACATCCACCAATTGAATCATCAACCTGAGCACCATCAATAGGCCCACATTCCTTGGCTGGTCTGCAGATACTTACCTAAGAGATTGAACACAATCAATATATGTTAGATTTTCTGCTATTTGATGGACATGATATCAAGACCAAACTCCTCAGTTACAACCTTCTTTTTTATTCATGCATCTTTACACATTTTTCAGCTCATCCAAAGTGATACAGAATATAAATGTGAGCTTTGAGTTTGGCCTGAAAAATTCTGATTCCACAACAAAGATTTTGGAAGCTGCCTTTTACATTAGCCCATCTAACTCAGTATCTTCTGTTTTGTTCAGTAGCAGCTTTCCAGGATTTAAATGAGGTGTCTTTGACCCTTAACTACTAAATCTGGCACATAAATCATTTGCTCAGTTCCTGGGCCAGAGCTTTTCCCAAGACAAATAGCTCACAATATATTTATTTGCTCTTTATTAGCATTACTATTATGAGGAATTCTTTTATCAATACCTAAGAGATGGTTCTGAGTGCTTTCTTACCCTACTCTCAAGAAAGCACACTGATTTATTAACTCACTGCAGAAAAACCACAAGATATGAACTTGGAAAAGAAAATTATTACCATGTAGCTTTTTTTAATTCCTTGGACTAGGTATGCTTTTTCTGAAGCTAATGGTTCCAGGTTATATAGAAATCCAGTGTTTGGGTCTTTTACAGAACAGCTCTGCAGGAAAAGACACAATCCATACACTTAAAACATTTGCAGTCGTAGAAATAAAAAGTCAAGGAAGTAATATATTCCATATAGATTATGGTTACCTAGAGGTAAGTTCTAAGCTATTTATATGAAGGACTTTTATCACATTAAAAGTCAGTGGATATAAAACAAAGCAAGGTTACTGATGTTTACAAAAGCGCCCTCTATCTACAGTAGTGTTAGTTCCAAAGCATATTTGGCAAGTCACATGCAAGGTTTTAGGGCTATGCCCCTTATGTCTCATATCTTCCATGGAAGTTTTTAAAAAAAACAGAATTTCAAGTTTGCCCCTAATTAGCTCTTTAAGAGAACGGTCTAGGCAGAACCCAATTTCAAAAGAAAGGATGTTGTAAGAAGTCAAATAAGAAATGAATCCAAACATCAGAGCCCTTTGTAAGTTTGCTTGCTTCAAGTGCTCGCCTCTATTATCCTAGTCACCTCCCAGAGGGCTTTCCTCATACTGAAAATTAAAAATGAGTTTCTGGGTAAGAATCCAAATCTAGAATTAGTCTTTGAAGAGGAGAAGAAGGGAGAGGCAGCAGAAACATGCTTTTATCTATAGCCTGCATGCAAACTTTCTCAGATTGAATTCCAGGTCAACAAGCAAAAGATGGGATATAAGGATTTACATTTATATATACACACAGCATGCAGCTTTAAACTGCAAATTGTATAAATCTTTTCTGCCCCTTACCTGAGACTCGCCTTGTGTTGTGGTAACTGGACAGGCAGCTTCAGTTTGCCACAGAAAAGTTGCAACACAGTCTCTTATCTCTACAAATCTTGGGCTGCTGTTCTGGAAATATAAGAGGTCTCAAAGTTAAGATAAGGAATAGGATAAGTTTGGTCTAGTGGTTAAGGCACCAGACTAGAAACCAGGAGACTGTGACTTCTAGTCTAGCCTTAGGCATGAAAGCCAGCTGGATGACTTTGAGCTAGTCACTCTCTCTCAGCCCAACCCTCTCACAGAGTTGTTGTGGGGAAAATAGGAGGAGGAAGGAGTATTAGGTATGTTTGTCACCTTGAGTTATTTATAAAAATAAAGGCGGGATAAAAAAACCATATATATATATATTAAATTTTATATATACATTAAAAGGAACATATTATATATTTTGTGCTAATTTTGGAACAATACTTTGGGAGGGTAACATTTCAAGTTTGAAAATGCTTTCAAAGACAGATAAGTAAATCTGAAATGGGTTGTTGTTCCAATCTGGGAAATACTGAAAAACTACTTAGCTGGACCTGATTAGTACCTGGACCACTAGAAAGTAGCATGGCTATAGACTGAGGGAGAATGCATTCAACTGTCCTCTAAAACACAGAACTTGCTCAACCATCATCACTTCTATTTAGGATTGAAGAAGATAGAAAATAGAACTAAAAGAAAAAAGACAAAAACTATAAAAGTGAAAATAGATAGAAAATTGAAACAGAAAATGACTTCCGACTATCTCCAATACAGATATAAATACA